TCAGTCATGCTCGTGTAAAACGGGTTTAGTCCCGCCACCACTTCAAAAACAAATCAAAACATGCTTTTAAAAACAGTACGGGCATTACCATAAATTTACTTACCTCACTCCGCAAAACCGAGCACTCAAGTCACGTACTAAACTGACAGAATGATCAAGAACCTAATCAAAACATCCACGAATTAATTACCGGACTATCACAAATTCAAACTGAAATCATCATTAGGATCATTCCTAATCACAATGCTATTTCTATCACTTTCCACATGATCGGACATCTCCAAATTCGTTCTTTTATCACAAACTAATCACTTAAATACCCGTTAAATGTTGGCCCTCGGGGTATGAACAGTGTCGGTGAACAGTACCCGTGAACAGTACCCCGACTTCCACAAATTGGCCAAAACACTAGCTAATCTCACGGGATTTTCTCTCCAAAAATCACAACAATTACCTCAAGCAATTTACACATGAATTAAGCAACAAAACACACTTAAATCCCTCTTAATTGCTACCGGAATTTCCCCATTTCCTAGCCAAATTCGGACATCACAAGCAGCAACTTTAAATGAATAATTTAAGCCTTAAAAGGGCTGTCAACATACCATAACTCTCCAGCTAAAACCGGAGCTGCAAGGGGAAAAGAGGCCGGCGGCACATCTGCAGGGAACTCACGGGTTTCCCAAAAATTGGAGGAACAAGAGCAATTAAGATAAACCCAAGCTAAATCAAGCTAAAGAAGGGAGATTCATGGCTGTTTCTTACCTAAAAATGCCCAGAATTTGCACCCACAACAAGGGCAGCCGGCGGACAAGGGCAGAAGAGCAGAGCAGATCCGAAAGCTTCCTGCAGGGGGGAGATTTCTGGGTTCCAAATCAGGTTCTTGGACAAGAAAAGAAGGGAAAAATCAAGCTTTATTACTAGTTTCCTCAAGGCATGGCTGGGTTTCTTTTTTTCTTTTTTTTTTTTGGGTGGCTGCAGCGGGAAGAAATGAGAAGAAAGCAGAATCGGGCTGCAGAAGAAGAAAGAAAGAAAGAAAAAGGAGAAAAAGAAAAGAAGTCATCCTTATCCAAAATCTTTCCCTCTTTAAGTCCCTCAACTTTTGAAATGTTGGCTATTAAGCCCAAAACAATATTTTCTCACACAAAAACCCTTACTTAAATGCTAAAATAGCACAAAATTTTGGGGTATTACAATGACTGATTTGAAGTGAAATGTTTTATGCTTTTCATTAAATTGAGCATGCCTACTTGAAATTTAAGTGACTGTCCTGATGATCTGAAAGTGATTGTGAATTGTGATTTTCGTTAACTTTTGCCTGTTTTGTCTCCGATGTGGTCATGTTATTAGTGACCCTGCTAGTGGGGGAGGTTATAAACGCTAGCACATGTCGGCACATGTCGATATGTATTTCGTGACCCTGCTTGTGGGGATTATACACCAGCAAAACAGTGACCCTGCTTGTGGGGATTATACACCAGCAAACAGTGCGCCTGCCAGTGGGTGTTAGACGCTGGCCATGACCTATAGAGGAGACGTCTATTTCGTTCCCGTGCTGTATCCGTTTTGCATGATTGCACATGTTGGCATGCTATAAGTTTAATTAAGGGCAATCCATATTTACTTACTGAGTTTATCTCATAGTTTTTCCTTGTCCACCATTTCAGGAAGTGAAACTGAGGACGGGGAAACCATGGGAAGTGACGAGTTAGAAAGCTAGCCATTTCGAGATTGATATAGGTTTTAGAAATAAATTATGATTTGTAAACCAGAGTGTATTTGGAGATTTTATGATATCAGAGTAAATTTTAAAGATTTGATCTTTAGATTTGGTGGTATCATATGTGAATTTGATTAAGTTCTGAGTCTTGTGCATTTGTGGGACTCGTCTCACGAGTGTACGGCGTCTGTCGCGCCTCGGATTTGGGTTCTGGGGTGTGACAATAACAAATTAACAATCTAATTCTTTTCAAAGAAAAGTTAAATTAGATTCAAGGTTAGAACACTTCCATTGCATATTCAAAACTAAGAACACCCAAATCTGACATCAAGTCAAGAACAACCAAGGCTGGAAAATTAATTCTTCTAGATTTTAACTAACTCAATCGAAAAACAAAGATTTAACTTCTTCCACGAAACAATTTGATTCTCACCAGCATCACGAAGAATAGTTAGATTAAAAGCAAGAGTTTTACATTTCCAATCCATGGATTCAACAATGATAACAATGAATCATGAAATCGAAACAAGACATATCTCGGTGGCAATTATTAAAAAAATAAAACTGGGTTCCATGAGGAACCCAGTTCTGGGTACCTCGGGGAACCCAAAACTGGGTACCAAGAGGAACTTAGAGCTGGGTTCCACAAGGAACCCAAAACTGGGTTCCTCGAGGAACCCAAGATGATGAAGAGGGGTGATGAAGAGGAAGCCGAGGATGATGAGGAGGGGGAGGAGGATGAGGAGCTCGAATGAAGATGAAGAAATTAAAGTCAATTTCATTTAAATTCATTTAATT